TAAGGTTTTAGCTTTATTTTTACATTTTTCGATCTTTTTTGTTGCGCTGTGATGACGTCACATACGCGCTTTCGTCGACCGTGCTTTTGTGGAACGCGGTTTTGACGGGTCACGGAAAGGTACATATTACTAACTCTTAAGTAGATTTATGTAAGATCATTCTTTTGATGTAATATGGAAGTAAAACCAGTACAATGTTCTTCTGAAGAACATGAAATAGTTGTGAAATTAACAGAATTTTAAATAATACTATGTATATTATCAGCATTATAGTACTAGGTTAGTAATAAATAAATGTTTATGAACTAGAGTTAATTTCAGTCTTGAACATATTTAACTCCAAAGTATAATCTTCAGGAATAAGGACAATTTCATGTGTGTTAGGAAAACAGACTGCGTATTGTGTACTTGGTGCTGTTACTGAAAAAATAAGGTAGTCTACCTGATTGAAAACTGCTTCCTGAGAAACCACAAATGATGATTAATTCTTAATGTGATTAGAAGAGGAGAAATCATTAGATATGAGGGAAACATGCCAACTATGTTTAATTTAAATTTAGACTTTTTTCAGTGAAGAGCTCTGGTGGTGCAGTAGTTAGAATGCAGTCTTGCAAGCCAATTCTGTCCACTGCAAGGAGTTTGATTCTGACCAGATCAAGGTTGACTCAGTCTTCTGTCCTTCCGAGGTTGATAAAATCAGGAGCCAGCAATATGATCTGTAAACCACTTAGAGAGTGCTATAAAGCCCTATGAAGCAGTATATAAGTCTAAGTGCTATTTGCTAATAGGCCAAATGTGGCTCTTGGTCCCAAAATCATAACACATATCACTAAATTCTCACAAAAGGAATTGCCAATAGTTTGTATTCTCTTAATATTTGACAACTATAATTCTATGATTGCAGGGACAGACCCTATTATTACCTTCTCAGTGGTGTTTTTCAAAGTGTCTGGTTTCACCAGAATGGAAGGTGGAGCAGATGCAGGTGGTTTCCCAGCTAGTTCGTTCTTTGAGACTTCACTGGTATCCAAAATGACCGAGCTACACACAGAAGGAGCTCTGCTGCTTCCGCTTCGGGGCAATAGCACTAAGGAAGAATTATGATAGGCGCTCAGTTTGATTCCTGTGTCACCCAAGCCAACTCCTCGGGGCAAAGAGGAAATAGATTGATATATTGGAGTTTGCTGAGATCGTGCTGGAGTTGGAGGATGTCGCTGGAGAGAGTTGGTTAAAGGAATAAGGGCTCCTGGTTGCAAAGGTTTCTGTAAAGATCCACCTGGGAGGACAAATAATTAAAGAGAGGAGGGTTAAGATAACAATAAGCTCTTCCAAACCACATGATTGAGAATTCATAATATGAGGATTCATATTTAAAATGGGTGGGAGAAATTCATTGAATTGCAGGATTTAACTGAATTCTAAAATTTGGGCTGATCATCACTATGTGGCATGCTATTGGAATGCGAAGAGCTGTTAGGAAGTTACAAGGGTGAGCTAACACAGTAGTGGAGCACATGGTTTGCATGTAGCATGTTTGAAGCTCATTCTCTCCAAAACTAATGAACCCCGGGAGGCAGCTTAATCTGTGTTCCTCTCGTTCCATCAGCTACTAGGAAAATGATATGCCACACTGGTTCAACTCATTATACCTTTTGCCTTAGTGCTTAGTATTTTATCCTAGAAACACAAGTTCAGTAGTCTAGACCAGGGGTCTCCAACCCCTAGTTCGTGGCTCGGTACCAATCCACAGCCTGTTGGGAACCGGAATGTGCAAGGGGCAGGTGAGCACAAATGCATGAAGCTACATTTGTGCAAGCAGTACGCACACACATGCAAAACTATCCCCTCTCCTCCCTCATTGATGCCACAGAACTGGAAAGGTTGGAGACAACTGGTCTAGACTTTACATGAAAAGTATTTACTGGGAACCCCAGTAAGCCAGAGGAGACAGCACTGGACTAAGATGAGCAACAGTCTGACAGAGAGGAAGACATGCCTGTATATTACTCTAGTCTTTTTAAATACCTACTCAATCTCAAGTTTCAGCAGGAATTTTGTTTAAGGTTTGAACTGAAATAAATACTCAGCATGTGCCTTGCAACTTGCATATATTCATCCAATTAAAGTTGTATTTGTCTTTCTTCTCTCACTAAGTTTTTTTTTTAATGACTAAAGCACGGACATGTTTTTCTAACTATGTATTTTGTAAATGGGACCATGGAATTTGCTTCACTTGATTACTCATTTCATTTCTTTTATTTGTAGAAATCACATTGGTTTTATCACTTGTAGTTTTTATTTGCCTCCCCCCACCCCAACTTTTTGTATTATCATTTGTCTTGCTTTGCACTGGCTGCAGCAGATTGATTAAATAAAATAGCTATTGGGAGCAACTAAGTGTCACCCATAGCATGCTGCTCTGTGGCAGAATGTAGAAAAATTGTGACCTATTCAAGATCTCCAATTCTGATGTTTCCTTGTGACTCTCCCAATTTTTCCTTAGAATGCCCAAATGAATAACAAATGCCCAAAATATTAGGAATAAAGAAGGCAGAAGAGAGTATTTATTGTTCAGATGCACAAAGGCCCTGAATAACCCACCAATTCCCAAATAGAAATAAGTGTATAGAAAGGAGTTCTTTGTAACAGTCTCATTCATATCTTGTGCATTTAATTTGAAGACTGAATCAAATGGATTCTGCTAAGTATTTCATTTGTTCTAAAACAAATCCTATAATGGACTGTAAAATACCAAGTTCAATTATAATGCCTAATAATAGTTACTATTTTACTCCAAGCTCATTTTGTGTGCCTAGCAGATTATTTTCTGCCAATATAATTCTATAGTAATTCTACATAAATCCAGAGTGAACACTGACCATATTCAGTTTCCAAGAACTGTATAGCATCAGATTTTTTTAAAAGTTGCTGCCAACACTTCTTATTTTATCCCTTCAGTCTCTAAACAAAGACCCAGAACATAGCAGGGACAGATAGAATTTTAACTTGATTTCTCCCCTCATAAAAATTTATCTGCCGCAGAGTGTCTAAACATTTGATCCTGCTACAATTTTCAGATCTTCCAGGCACTGAATAAACACATTCTTGTTTTTGGTAAGGCAGATTTCTGATCCAGCTTATTATGTTTACTACATTCATCCTGGAGTAGACTGGAGAAGACTCCCGTGAATCCCTTGGACTGCAAGGTGATCAAACCGGTCAGACCTAGAGGAGATCAACCCTGACTGTTCTTTAGAAGGCCAGATCTTGAAGATGAAACTCAAGTACTTTGGCCACCCAATGAGAAGGAAGGACTCACTGGAGAAGAACCTAATAGTGGGAAATATTGAGGGCAAAAGAAGAAGGGGATGACAGAGAATGAGGTGGCTGGCTGGAGTCACGGAAGCAGTAGGCGTGAACTTAAATGGACTCCGGGGGATAATAGAGGACAGGCAGGCCTGGAGGAACATTGTCCATGGGGTCATGATGGGTCGGACACGACTTCACAACTAACAACAACATTAATCCTGTGTTTTAATGTCTAATTAAAGATTTCTAGTCATATCTCTGCCTTTGGGGATCAGGTCCACTTGTTTGTTTCTCATCTTAGGACTTACTCTTCTTATTGCTACTCCGTCCTCTTCTCATTGATGCTGTGTGCCCTGAAGCACTGGGCAAAGAGAGATTCCTCACAGGTGAAGTCAGAGATTTCAAAGGTCTGCTTTGCCCTGGACGGTTCCCTGAGATGCTTCCCTGGGATGAAAGTGAGGAAGTGGATAATGTCCAAGTTGCATAAAGGGAGGGCATCTTTGAATCAGAGAAGCCGGAGGATTTTCTGTTTGTTTGGGAGAGCAAAAGAAGAGGGAGGAAGGTGGTTCATTAGCAAGCAGATACCTTTCATGTCATTTACATAGAAAACATATGTTACAATTCAGATTCGGGAATTATATTTACTTTTTATTAGAAAATGCAGATCACTCCACAACAGCAAACATTTGTACATCTGAACCAAAATACCTTTGTAGATTATTTTAATCTTGCATTTATTTTTTTTATTTAAATAAACACCAGATTTTCCCACTCATCACTCTGCGAGACATTGAGAATTGTATTGTTGCAGGTTTTGCATTTCCACAAAGCAAAATAAAACACAATGACTCATCTTTTAATGATATATAGCTCATGTCTATTATTACTTCTCCCACCCAGCTATGAATATTTGAAGGACTATGGCATGTGAAACATCTGATTCTCACAGAGAGTGAGCCATTTTGTTCTGACCTTATAATTACTGTTTTTATTATTTTCTGAAGAATCTAGTACGATAAAGTTGGATAGTGTAGAAGTTGAATCATGGCAACTATATGTCCTCCAGAGAGGTTTCATTTCTCACTTAATCTGGATAGGCTTAATGACCCACCTAAGATAAAAGATTTAGGAGTTGGAGCATTTATATCCCAATATTTCTCTGCTTACTCACCTAACAAGCCCATCCAGATTAGATGACCTCCCTGAAGGACATCTATGGCAGTGGTGGGTTATGACCGTTACGCCCCAGTACGGTGCCTGCCAGGAGCACCAGGTACCATTTTGGTATGGTGCTCCGGAAGGCTCACCCACCCACCCACGCTCCTTACCGGTATTTAAGGTTTCCAGGGCTTCTGCACATGGAGTGTACGGCACTTGCGCGCCGCTCTATTGAGCAGCTGAACTGTTGTGGAGGCGTCATGGAGCGTCATAGGCAGTTAGTACACATGCACGTGCTCCGCACATTCATGTGGTAGACACCTGGCCCTGTTGCACCGTACCAGTTGCACCGGCATCCAGAACCCACCACTGATCTATGTGGTCCCTCTAATCACCTTGCTTAATCTGAAGAAGCTACTTGGACAAGCAGCAAAATATTTTGAACCAACAAGAAGTTCAGTCGCCATGACTCAACTTCCAGACCACTCTTCCTCGATGACTGAGAATCTTCATCAACAAAGGTTGGATCACTTCGTAAGAGATCAAAACAGCCTGTTTCAAACTTAAGAAATTTTCAAATTCAAAACATTTTGCACAAATCAAATTCAGAAATATGCAGTTTCCATTCAGGTGTATCCCCATAGGCAGTTACTACTATGATAAATATTAACAGCACAAATCCTTTGGCAGGTTAAACACGTTCATTGTATGGGAATGCTTGCATGCTTCTGTGACTGACGAGTCTGCTAATTTGAATTAATCATATTTTAAGGTGTTTTTATTTTTAGCTTTTGGCTTTAGTCTACTATTGCTGTACTCTGCCTCATATAAATGTTTCTTCCTCTGTTTAGCCTGTAACCTAGCGGCAATTCTGCTCACTGAAGATTTGCAATTACTTGTAGAATTTATTTTTCTCACTATGCACTTATATAATTAAAAGAAAGTTGTCCACTGGACTGGTGGAAATTGGTAATGGGACTGTAGTTCTGCTTTATAAGGCTGCAGGTATTTACTTGAGAACAAGCAATGCAAAATGAAATGTGGGATGGGAGATGGATAATGTCTGTGGACGGACAATTTATGTAATGATTCAGAATTACCAAAAGAATCCATTACCCAAGTAAATCACTCAAAAATAAAAAAAATCAGTGGAGGGAAAAGGTTGCGAAGATAATAACTATGCGCAAACATATAGAGAGTTAATTTCATGTTTTCTAGTTTTTATGGAGGGATGTTTATGGGAACAGATGCAAAATTTATTCAGTCTCTTAGAAAATAATATAACAGGGAAAGTTTATAGATTGATTTTTTTCAGTAGAAAAAAAACAGGTTTCAATTGTGCATGAGATGGACCCTTCAACTGCAGCAGTTCCCTATAAAAAAAAAGAAGGACCCATTTGGTGACTGGGAGTGGTAAGTCTAGGAAGGCTTAATAAATTGTCAGGGAGAATGAGCTTGTCAAATCACCAAGCCTAGAACTGTTCTTCAGCCTAGCTCACAGTTTTCATGAGGACATTGTCCCTAAGGCAAAACCTGTAAGGACACGGATGTTTCAAACATGTCAGAAACAAGAGACAAAGAGGCGCAAACAGGATATTAGTCAGAATCTTGCCATTGTGGGAATGGACCATCACTGACCCAAACAGGCTGACTTTTCTAATAGTAGTAGGAATAATAAATGTTTCTAGAGGCCCACAAGCAGAACTGAAAAGGAGACCCCTCTGGAGGAAAAAAAATATTTATATTCAGGCAGTGGGTAGAACTGAAGAGCAGCTCAGCTAGCTAATTTTAACAATTACAGGAAATACTTGCTTATATCACAACCTTTATCCAAGGCCTGAGGCACTTTAATTATGCTTAAACACAGCTTTGGAAGGGACAAACACATTACTTGAATATGGAAAGCTTCAGTTGATCTCCAGTTGTATAATATAAAGGCTGTGGCCAGTCTAATGCCATTTGGTATTTGATTCTTTACTGTAACCCCAAATGAGAGCTTTGACAAAGCAACTTTTAAGCTACACTAATTAAGCTTTGATTCCAAGGGGGGAAAACATTAGGAATGAACAGTTTAGGATTGATTCTGAAAGGATCATTCTTATTAAAATTTTAAGGTGAAATTCCCCCGCCCCATCAATATCCAGCACCACTGTACCTCGGATGCCCAATTGACAAAAAACAAGCAGTTGTGTCTACTGCTTATACTTAAAAAAGCTTGTTGATGAAGCACCGAGGAAGCAATGCTCTTGAAAGACAAAAATCAATCAATTATTCTCTTTCCTACTTATAATTCTATTTTCCAACTGTGGGTCCACCCCTTCTTCCTTCCAAAATTGTTGCAGTCCAATCTGATTGTTTCTTTGTTTTTCCTTGAGGAGGCCAACAAGGTCACAGAGCTCTTAAATTTGTTAAATTGTTGAGACTGGCAGCAATTTCTGCATGATCAGAGTTGCTTTAATAACCTAAGTGGTCCTGATTTGCTGTGAACTTAAAACAGCAGCATTTGTGCTTCTTTCTAAGGGAGAAGAGAACAAACATCACCTTGTAGTCCATTCTGATAACATTCCCATGCCTAGCTTTTGCTTTGGAAAAAAAAAGATTTAATCGTGGGACAATGATTCGTCACAATATTGAAGTTGTCAGTTTATTATGAACTTGTTTCAAAAGGATGATTCACAATATTTGTGTTCATAAGTAAGGTACTTTGTAAAACTGCTTCCAATCTCCTGGGATCTGTGTTGGATTGATCATTTTATTGGCCCAGAGTGTGATTGGAGGCCACCTCATAATTAAATGTGCCCTGGAAAATGAAGAATAACTGACTCTCCTTATTGGGAAGAAATTTAGTGTATATCAGGAAGCATAGTTCTGCCCCCAAAGCCGCCTGGGTGTTTCCAGTTTAAACTGAGCAATTTAACTTGATAAAACACAAGGGAAGAAATGCATAAAGTAATAACATGGTTAGTTAGGTAGCTGTTTGAGCATCCCACATCTCAAACCACAGTCTAAAACCTGTCATTTTTTCCCCACTCTTTACCTGCAGTTCATATGTTCAGGGATTACAATATTCAGTTATCCAAACATAACACAATCATCTCAAGAAACACCATTTTGAAGAATGACAAATTGTTCTCTCAAAATTAATATAGGAGCTTGCGAGATCCATTCAAACTCATTTGTTATCTAGCTAATATGGTTGAGATGCAGTGTGAGCAACTATGTCCTTTCTCTTCTACTATTATCCATTCTGATTAAGGAAACTAAGCACTAAAGGAAGACACATTTTATTTAAGGTTAGTTTTGTTTTCATTTTAGAAGGTGCTTTCAATCTGTACCTATTTCTATTTTAATTTATCTTTTTACAACTGGTTCATTTGCATTTGTTTTTATAAATCTCCTCTTGGAAACAGACAAGTGATATCTTGTCTTTAAGAAAAAGTTTACAAAAGAAAAAGAGAAGGGAAAGTCTGGAAGTGGTTTTGGATAAAACCTAAAATAGTCAACTTTGAATCTATGAGTTGAAATTCAGACCTGCTTGAAATTAAGATTAAGAACCTCTAAATTGTGAGAATTTGACACTTCCCCAAAATGGCTTTTATCCATAAACTGAACATACAGTGTATCAAAATTGCTGGAAAGGCCACACATTATTTTACAAAATATTGCTTTGATTTATAAAAGAATGACAGAAAAAATATTCCCAAATTCAGATCTGGAATAGTTCAACATTCTGCTCAGCTATTTTGCTTTTTCCACTAAATGTAGGGAAAAACATCAAAAACTTTGCTGAAGCATTTATGGAAAGATGACCTCAGTTTTACTCATTCTTAAATAGTATATTATATTTTACTTTTCAGTTAACAGTGATTACTGGCAGATTATCTCATTTTTCAGTTAATGATGATTAAGAGGACACTTTTCAAGAACAGGCTTAGACTGAAAAGCAAATCACCGAATGAGTAAACTGAAAATTCATATTACTATAACTGGAGAATGCAAGGAATTTCCTTCCAACACTGTTTTACAACTATTTTCTCCATTAAAAAAAAATCCTCTCCAACCCTTGATGCTCCTATATTAAGGTATCTTCTACATATTTCTTTACTGCCTTGAATTATTTTATTTTTATTGATTGATTCAATTTGTATGGTCACCTATCTCAACAAAGTTGAAGCAAATTACTGTTTGCTTCAGTAATTCACTTTTCACTAAATAGTCAGGCCTGCTATTAGCCATTTTCTATTTTCAGGAGAGAGAGGCTGCTTTGAGCTGATTTCATATTAAAACAGAACATATTTAGGGCATTAGGGAATTTATCTCCACATGCTTTCAACTGTAGCTTCAGCTTTATACAAGTCCTCAGGCATATTGTGATCTAACTTTAATATATGGAACAAGAAACTAAAACAAGTCAACAGTTAATTTTTCAGAACTGCCAAAGATGAGAAAAATATCTAAATCATAAAACTATTGTAAGAATAGTTTTCTCTGGTGAAATAAAACTGTGTAGAAAATATGTTTTCATTGTCTCAATAGTCTGACTAAAGAGTGGGGAACATGCAGTTTGCAGATGTTTTATTATTCCTACTTAGCCTCACCACTAGAGTCTGTTAACTCAGAGTAACCTAAAAGATAAGAGCCTCTGTGTTCATTACATTTCCTTTGATTTTTGTTTCAGCTAATTCAGGGTGAATGGATTTGGTGCATTTGTTGTAAGTTGAGATATTGATTCCTACTCCCTGTAAAACTAGGGGGGAGGGTGTGAGTCAAAATTGGTGTGGTTCAGTTTATGCCCCAGCCTCGTGGAATAACTTGCTTCCAGAGCTCTTAATAGCCCTGTCCCTGATGAAACTCTGAAACACGAGATTTCCTGCAAAGCTTTTAATTATTGTTAAGTATTAATGATTTCTGGAACTAAGCATGACTGCATCATATGGACATTAGCATGCTTATGTAGTTACGTTTGAACTTAATTATTTAGCTATTTTATGTTCAATTTTGCAAGCAACTGGGAGTCCTTAGAGAGCAAGCAATATAGGATATAAAATACTGTAAGTAAATAACTGAGTAAGCAAAGAAATAAATAGTTTAGAGGCGGATTTCGTGCTGTGCTAGATGGGATTGAGACTCAATTTAACTGAGCAACCATTTTTACAGCCAGATACTATACCTCTCAGAAGGCTACAGCATGAAGGCAACATAAGTCCCACATGTTTCGTCCATCTTGATCTGATATATTTTATTTATTTATTGTTGAATGTATACCTTGACGTTTTGCTTATTTCAACATTCAAGGTAGCTTACAATACAGAATACTGAAATAAGTTGTCTCTGAACATGAAGGCTCTTATGTAAGCAAAGTAGCTGACAGGACTTGATAGACCAGTTTTTGTAACTAACTCTTAATAATTTGGACATCATAAACAAGGCTTGGACATAAACAAGCAGCTTCTCCTCTCCCCCTTCCTGTTTTTTTTTTTTTAAATTCCTTTTCCATTTTTCTCACCTTTTTATCCCCTTATCCCCACTGCTTTCTACTGGGGATCCTAGGGGAAAAGATCTTGAAAAATCATAGAGCAGATAGTTAGAGATGATGGTTAAGGTCCAGTTTTCATGGGGGAAAGTGGTGTGTTCATTTCCATAAATATCATAGTTCTTACTGAATGTTCTGGTTATTTAGCTTGGATGCCCCTCCACGGATTAAGCAATAAATATGCTTCATTTTAAAAATATGTCTTTCAAAAGAGTAAATACTGGGGAGGTTAACCAAGCCTTTGTAGGAACTTCTAAAAGGTCTTATGAAAACTTGTAACCTTACAAGCAATAGTAATTTACAATTTAATAGTAAATTAGTAAGGTAATAGTAATTTACTTTTTCATCTTTTGGACTGAAATAATTGTAATGCCCCTAGGATCGTCTTGAGATCTGTCCTGAGCATTGCTCAACTGTGGCAGTCCTTCATGCATTGAAAGAAATGCGTTATAATCTACTTGTTTGTGGTGTAGAAAGAAATGTCCTAATTTTAATGTGTCATAAAGGTTTTTGTTAAAAAGGTTTCCTAATAGTTATTTAATCACCCACAAAAACACGCTGCATAGCAAATGCTGCAAAAAAGCTTCATGGACTGTGGATGCCTCCTCCTGGATCAGCTTCTCACCAGGGTACCCAGAGACCTCAATTTTTGTTTATTTGCTTGCACGTAAACAAAAACAAATTAGTCCCTCCGTGGCCTTGTACGGATCTACGGCAACATTTTGTAGCAAATGTATTGTTTCAATTAGTAAATGCATAGCTTTGATTTAATTATCCCTTTGAACAAGTAATTATATGTATAGTACCAATGATAAGCTAGTCATTAAAAATAAAATAAAAGAGAATCCTCGATAGCAAGAAGACCAAGCTTTAGGGTGATATTTCAGTATCATACAAGCAACTGATCTGTGACTGTTCTATACAAATTATTTACAGAAATTTATTCATCTGGCCTTCTTACATAAGCTCAGCATACTAGCACTATCCAAATACTAGTTCTTACTGATTTCTTCACTCCCTTGTAGCTACAAAATATTATTTTTAGGTATTATACTATTGTATACTTCAACTTTTATGCTACAGAAAAGTAGCATAAAAGTAAAATCTTTATTACGGTCAAAGACCAGCAATACACATTAGTTTTTACACTATATTAAAAAATACTAACATTAAAATATAATTAAAAAGTATTGACATTAAAAGTGGATAATAACATAATGGCCCAAAGATTGTTAAAGGTATGTCCAGATAATTGGTATAAGATGGTACTATACTTCTATACTTTTATGCTACAGAAAAGGGGAAACACTTACAATGATTAGGAGCTACAATATATAATTATTTTCCAGATCCAGAAAAGGAAAAAAAAAACTCTTAGCAGTCAAAACTGATTTTTTTTTGTTTCGTTTTGGCCAAAATAGTTCCAAAAAATGCATTAAGGTTACATGTAATCGTGTAAAATGTATGTAGGCAGCACTACCACGCAATCTTATTCGCTCATCTTAAATTAATTCAAGCCCCATTTCCCTCCCCTCCCCGTGCTGTGGAAGAGTCCCTCTCCAGATATTTCTGCTATTTTCATATACACCTCTCAATCTATAAATAGTATAGGTCAAACCTGAAAAATGGAGCAACATAATTGCTGGGGAAGACTCCGACTTTTCCTGTGATCAGTGACATTCCTTTTAGCCAACCTTCACGGTATTTCCCCAAAACACGAATGCCTTCTCCTTTTTGCAGGTTGAGTTCATCCGGGCTGTGAGCTGTATAGGAGTGCAAAGCGACGGACCTATTGAAACATAAGGAATGAGAAAGTAAAGCACCAGGCACTGGTTAAAAAAATAAATAGAAGAGTTTCATTTATGCAACATAAGGAGGCTATGACACAATACTCTGCTTTCAGGCCACACCAGGAGCTGCCCTTGTGCCTTGTGCTAAACCAGAGCAGTGCATCTGATGCTTCTTTGTGTAACACTTTTGTTACGCAATCTGGTGAATATTGTATCGGCTTTAAGTACAGACAACTTGTCAAGAATGCCGAATGGATCTCTACCTAGCAATATGTAGGGCATTTCTAAATCGGTTAGTGTAATCGGCATGATGTATTCAGTCCAAGATTAAGCTCTGGGCTACGATCCCAGATTGGAGAAAGAAAAACGCAGTCTGGAACGAAAAGAGTTAAACACCCGTACACTTGCACACAAAAAGATCATCTTCCTTTGAATGCAGAATAATTGCACTGTTTATTAGCACCAGGAAATTACATATTAAGATTCATCATCAGCTCTTTTGGGTTTTAGATCTGTCATCCAAATCCAAGAATTTCTTTGACACCTGACATTGCAGTAATTAGCTGCTCCAGCAAACAGTGTTAGGGTTTTGTGGATCCTGTAGCTTAAAAGGCATAATATTCACATGCTATTCCTAATGATTCTTCATTTAAATTAAAAAGATCTGTCTCTTGTGACAGTGAGCTTTATATTTCATGTCATGTGCTTGGAAGCTAATTTAAGGCATAAAAATAGAGTCATTCTAGAATGATGTTTACCTCAGTTTTAACAAAATACAAGTATTTTGGGGAAAGGGAGCTCATGGGTTTATATTTAAAAAAATTCCTTCTGGTATTGTAACTTTGGGGTATTTTGGCCCAAAACCTTGATTCCAGACCATGTGCTGCAGTTGCTAGGCAATAGCATCTTCTGGGGCCACAAAAATGTCATCCTTAAGAAATTCATAAGGATTATATGTACGTACATATTCAAAGATAGATGTTGCTGTAAGTGGGGAAGACTGACAATGGCCGTAGAATGCCCCATGGATTCAGGTTCTAGGTAACAGAAAGGGCTGACCTGTAAAAAAAGAAAAGAAATAATATTCAAATGAAAGCCCTTCTAGTTTCCTTCCACAGGATGTCATGAAAGTAAAACGGAATGTCCTTCAAATAGCTAGCAGAATTGATTCACCCTGATAGAAGTTAGTCAGATGTCTCCAGGGAACTTCAAACATTTTATCACCTCTGCAGATTGGAACTGGAGAAGAATGTGCAGGCCATACCAAAGATGTATTTCCCTGGCAGGACTTCAGATGTGGAATCTTTCCAGGTTCCTATCCTTCATCTACTTTGCTCAGTGTACAAAAAGTTATTAGAGATTATGTGGTTATTAAGCATAAGTTTCAGTGATTCCAATATATTGAATAAACCTCTGTGTATTGAATAAACTGTATTTGCTTACAGTTTAGAACTTATCTGAATCTCACCGGGCTCTGTGTTTTAGTCCTATTTTTATAGATATTAATTTAACATACATGGACAACTCTTGGATCATGTGCAATGGTCTCCAAGGCTATACCTCAGAATCTCCAAGGAAGGGGTGAAATGCTACTGATTTGGACCAGTTTGCCCGAACCGGTAGTAAAAGTGCTACTGGTTTGTCCAAACTGGTAGTAAAAAAAATGCTTTCCAGATGATCAGCTGTGATGTGCAATTTATATTAGCTAGAAAGCACACTCACATTGCTACCGAACCAGTAGCAAAGTAAGTGGATTTCACCCCTGCTCCAAGGAGTTCTGGAACTTGCTGGGTCATAATTCTTAACCTCTTTCCCCCACGTTGTAAAGTTTCTTTTTAAAAAGGGGCAAAAGCGACATCCTAAGATGTCTTAAGACAAAGGTGGAGAAACACTGGGCTAGTCATTTAATTTTACTTTGCTTACTTTGGCAGGCCTTTTAAAAAATCCTTTAGTTAATGGCACAGCAAAACTGCTTTGATTGTATTATATAAATTTATTAAGTTTTTTTTTAAAAAAATAAAAAACTCATAGAAAATCAGTAGTCAAGAGAGAGAATAGAAAGACAGAAAATGAACAGAACTGGCAGAAATAGATGTAATAAAATAAAAAATATAAAAACAAAAATACAAACATAAAAATGACTTCTGACTTCTGACTTCTTTTAAAACAGACATAAATAAAACTTGAATTCAGCTCCTGCTCTACAATAACAATGTAACTTCCATTTTTAAAAAATAATCTATAAATATTACTAATACACCAGTCCATATATAATGATTTTGTTTTTTCCGGCTTCATGCAAAAAGTCCCCATGGGGGTTTTCAACTGTATTAAACTTAGCCAATGTCTTTCAGAGACATCAGTTTCACCATCCCTGACACTCCGTCAGTTTTACTCCCTTATTGTAAATTTCATCTGATATAGAAGTCTTACCATGCAATTTTTCAAACTTTTGCCCTAACAAAAATAAAAGCAAGTTACATATAAATATGTATTGCTCATTAGCTCACCTCTCAGTTTCTGTGATTTTTACTTTAGAGAAGTACAACTGTGATTTGCAATCCCTCATTAAGAATTGAGCACGCTGTACAAATCCATTTGTGCTGTTCTGCTTGGTATTGGCTAAGCAAGTTATGTGGACTTAATCAGTTGTGGTATATTCAATAAACCATGGTTAGATAATTGTGATGAATAATTGATTCACTGCAGCTTCAAACCAGGTCAAAAACCTGTATTATAATTTGCAAGCTCATAACAGCAGCGAGTTCTGCTCTTACATGCTATAACAAGCAACCATATTGATTGAGAGTAAGCTTAGTTTGAGAGCCAGTTTTATGCTCAGTTGTAAGACACCACACTAGAAATCAGGATACCATGAAATCTAGTCCTGCCTTAGACATGAAGGCTGGCTGAGTAAAGCTGACCAATCATTCTCTTTTAAACCCAGGAAACAGACAATGGCAAACCACTTCTGAAAAACCTTGCCAAAAAAATTGCAAGGAATTGTCCAGGCAGCTTCCAAGAATTGGAGAGTTTAAAAAGAGTGAGTTTAATTTGCAGCAAAAATTTGCTCTCTGTTCTCTCAGCACCAGAACTTCCAGATAAAAAACTTTATTTAGTTATTGATCCAATTCAGTCTAGAAATTCGGGGAATTTAGGCGGAGAGCTTGGCTTGGCTTGACTGTTATCTCTGTGGTGGTAGTTTATTTGTGTAAACCGCCACCACAAGTAGTGATTTATTTGTGTGTGTCTATGCGTGTGTTTCAATAAATTCCATAAAAACAGGCAAACCTCTCCCTGTTTTGGGCTTCAGTTGTTAGAGACAGTATGAAAGTGGACTGCCCAGCATATCTATGTTATAAAACTGGCTAAAAAGAAGATTTCAAGACTCTGGGATGCTTTTCAATATTGTAGTGAATTTCTAGAATTCTAGAAGGAAATTTGCGTAGTTATTTTCAGTTAATCAGTTAATCAAATGTGACAGGTGTTATGGCTATGTAGGCATCCTGGTAAATATGGGATTATTTATCAGTTGTAGACAGGGCAGAAAAGTTATAAAGAAATGAATTTGTTAAACAGGATTTCTACAGGATAGAGCTTTTTGTGTGTTTCCGTCACTGGGCCATTTGTCTGACTTTGAAGGTGAATGTGTCTTGCACTATATTCATTGTACTTTTGAGGTTGTCATAGACATTCTCTTTCTCTTGTATAGAGGAAAATTTGACCTTGTGTCACAGATGCCTAATTATCTGCTGGGCATTGCCTACAGCAGGACGGTCAAACTCAAGGCTTGTGGGCTGGATATGGCCATGGAGTGCTTAGATCTGGCCTGTGAGGCTGCCCTGGAAACAGCAAAGGATTGGCCCACAGTGCTTCTGCCAGCAAAAACGGAGCTCAAGAGGGCCGTGGCTGGCCGGCCCAAGCTCCATTTTCACTGGCAGAGTGTTGCAGGACCCCTTTGCAGCCGAAAACAGAGGTTGAGAGCCCCTTTTCGCTGGAAGAGTACTCGGGCTGCCACAGGCACTCCTGACACAAGTGACATTGAGCTGGCCACACCCAATCTGCCCCCCTGAGGTAAAACATAATCCTGATGCGGCCCTCAATGAAATCAAGTTTGAGTCCCCTGGTCTAAAATAAACAAATGAATTGAATAATCCTTGAATTCAAAGGCTGAAACAAACATTTTTGCCTCCAATGTCAGAAAAACCCACCTGCACCTTTTCTGTTATTAGTCACTAAAAATACAAGTAAATCATTTTTATTTTGTTTTTCCTAAACAACCTAATCACCTACCTGAAAAAAAACAAAACACCTCCCTTCCTGATACAGCTGTTTGATTTCCCTTTCTGTAAACTGGAAGTTGCTTCTACTGGCAAACTACCATGTAGCCTTTGCTATTATCCTGGCTGCTTCCAGAAAGCACATTTTGCTGTTGGCCATCATACCGAATCCAGCATCTATATATGCACATGAACAGATGGGAAAATTCTGGCGCATTGTATACTGGCACCATGAAATACTAGCCATGTGAACAAAGAGTGCAGTATGAGATGTGGAGGGTTTTGGAAGCCCTTCTGAAAACAGCTGCATAATCTCATAAAAATGTCTCCATGGGTCTAATAGCTAATGTTAAATGTAAGAACTCTGAATTGTTGGCTGTTGAGAGGCCTCTTCTCCATATATATATATGTAGTTCCCTATATTCTCAACTGCTATATCCTAATACAATTAAAAGAAGGACAAAATTTTGAATGCTGGGTATTTTAATACAAATATAGGCAAAGACTTTTCTGGATAGATGACATTTCAACAAATCTCTGCTGCTTCTACTCTCCCTGAAATAAATTTTCATGTTTATATGGAGATATAGTTATTTATATCGGCAACATCCATTTCTACCAATACATTCACAAAGCAGAGAGACCAAGGAGTTTATAATCTAAATTCCATTAACTCCTGCCTTTTCTTCTGTGCAAAATATTATAGAAAATGGAAAGAAAAAGGTTTGGATTGTACAATTTGATTCTTTCGAATAAAAACTGCAAAGTTACTCTTGGTTGGAAAAATAATTCAGAGTCAGAATTTAGAAACTGACTACTACTTTTTAAATAGGAAAATATATTTGCAATGAGACACAATCCTTTTGTCTTGCTGAGGGTTTACTAGCTACCATGAACAAAGGTCTTGATGTTATTTATCTGATACTACGAAACCATTGATTGGGAGCTACCCAGAGTTGGATGAAAGATGGGCAGACAGAGAGGAAGACCAACAGAAAGATAGATAAATAAATAGACAGAAAGTAAATTTTCATTATTTAGATCATTTATAAATAGTTCTATTTCTGGCTACAATATAGGACTATTCAATCATGTTTAAAAATCAATAATCCAATGTGAGGTTGGCCCAACCCTCCTATCTTTTTGTAAGGGCCTAAAGATGTGGCTGTGCCAAGCTGGCAGTGGGGGAACAGCACATTGGAGGTGGTTGATTGATAATAACAGATCCCACTTCCTCCTGCCCCTCCCCTTCCCATGTCTCCTTGGTTTTAATGACTGATGTTAACTTTTAACATTTTGACTGTATATGTAACTGTAAGCTGCCCAGAGTTACCCTATGGTAAGATGGACGGCAAACAAACAAACAAATATAAAATAAATAAATAAATAAATAAATAAATAAATAAATAAATAAATAAATAAATAAATAAATAAATAAATAAATAAATAAATAAATAAATCCATCCTAAATTGGAGTTATGAGGAAGAAGGAAATCTAAGCATTTAAATCAAGGGTGGTGGCTTTTAGATCAAGATTATACAATTTACATTGGTTCACTAGCTTCATCAGGCTTGGTGTAGCATGCCAAAAGCTGAAATCTAAAATGGATAGGGCCAGGGTCAATTTTAGGAGAGAGATTTAGGAGTTTTAATCAGTAAAATCCAGATCAGTGTTTTTAGAAAGGAAGGAAGGAAGGAAGGAAGGAAGGAAGGAAGGAAGGAAGGAAGGAAGGAAGGAATATAGCTGGAATCTCCTAGAGGACTGTCTCTTGTTGAGGA